TTTTTTTTTAATATTTTTTAATATGAAAGACTAAAAATTCTAAATTCTCAGTTTACTAAGCATTCCTTTAGCATGCAGTAAAATTTACCGCTAATCGAACAATTATTTTTCAAAATATTTTTCAAAATTAAGAAAGAATATTTTTCAGAAATTAAATCGGCCTCCTTTAAATATAAGGCGACCATAGATATTATTTTAATAATTTTTCTAAAAAATAAATGCTATACAAACCACATAGACTCTTAACGACAAACGGTAAATGCATGTTTCTTTAGATTTTTCTATTTCAATACTTGCCCTTCGCTGTAAGTGGGCCGAACATTCTTTGTACCGAATGTTGGCACAACTCATTTGTTTACTTGCCTTAATTAAAAATGAAATCGTTATGAATATCGAGAATATGAACATGCCACCTAAACCGTATAGATGGAGTGTTCGACGACCGGTACGATCCATTAACGGTATTGAGACGAGCGTCATTAGCAGCTGTAAAAATTTTGATTAAATATCACCAAAAAAAAAAAAAAATGACTTAAAAGCTGTGCATACAAACCATTATGGCGCCGATGCCTATCGTTGAGAATTTGGCGCTCTCCTCCGTCAGGCCGGAGCTCATGAATAGCGATGTCGAGTAGTAAAGTACCGCATTGATACCGCTAAATTGCTGACTCAGCTGCATAACAATGCCGATAATCAATGGCGGCCGCAGTGTGGGCGAGCAGATGAGCTCCATGGTGGAGATGTGGCTTTCGGATTGTTGAGCGCGTTCTTCGGCGCGCATCTCTTCGATGTCTTCCTCAACCGAACTAGAGGCACGTAGTCGTCGTAACGCTGTGAAAAAAATTATATATTTATAATTTTGAGAGCTGACAAGAAAACAACGATACAAATTAGCTTTGTCGAGCTTATCGAATTTAGTATCGCCCTAAACGTAGGCAACATTTTCGTTATAAAACACGGCATACAATAAAGCTGTTAGCAAAGTCTCCCACCTTATACATTTATTTCAGATAAAGGAAAATAAAAATTATTATCGTAACAAATACTGAGCTAAAAGGAGCCAAGAATAGGCAACGTTTTCATTTCTTATAAAATTCTGCCTACAAAAAGACATTTCCGTTTAGCACAGCTTGATAGCTATTAAATTTATTATAGGAAATGAACCTTCGGGCCACTTTGAGGAACACTTTACCAGTCAATGTATCATAACATCATCTGACTTTAATTATTAATACCATCGAAATATCAATCTTGATACAATATAACAGCATGAAATTAAATGCTCCCAAAATATAGCTAACTTTCGCACCTATTAATATAATGACTAAAAATAAGGTCACTTAAAATAATTCGCTACCTTTATAGTATAAATCAAGCGTTATGACCATTTAGTTTATCGCTTAATATAGGCAACGTTTTGAGTATGGAATGTTATGTTCTCTTACAGATAAAAAACATTAATTTGTTGCCTACAATTAGGTGCATATGTTAAGCAAAGTCTCAAATCCAAATTGCTAAAATAGTTAAAGCAATAAATATTGCTTATTCCAATAGTTTTCAGCTTACCTCTTCGGGCTTCCTCCTCCCATTGTTTCGTTATAAGCAGATATCTGGGCGATTCCGGGCATACCGGCAGTAATATTAATTGCAATATTGCTGGACATATGGCTAGACCAAGTAAAACTGGCCAGCCTTCATTAGTTCCTAAAATTTGTTCGATTCCCAACACTTGGGATAGTAGTAAACCTATTGTCACAGCCAATTGATTTACAGTACCTAATCCACCGCGTAAGTTCAGTGGCGCTATTTCGGAGATGTACATTGGCACCAATGATGTATTAAGACCTACAAAATAATAATTGAAAACACGCCACATACATATTTTACGCATACGATTATATAATTGTATAGAGATAACGCACCGCAATTAACACCAATAATAAATCGGCCAAGGAATAACATTTCATAGGAATGACTAACTTTGGTAAAACCCATTAGACAAGCACCCGATATGCCAAGTACATTATTTAATAATAATCCGCCTTTTCTGTAATGCAATAAAAATTCGTCAAGTGATTACTTTGCAATAAGTATAAGAGTAATTAATTATATAATTACAGTGCTTGTATTTGAAAAATGTCTCTATTTTAACTCACTCATTTGCGGCCTTTTGTTGCACTTACCTGCCGAAGCGATTGGCCATCCAACCGCCGCTGAAACCACCCAACATGCCGCCAATGGCGAATATCGACACCGCCACCGAGTACAGCTGTTGTATGAACTCCTCGCTAATATCCTCACCATAGCGATCCTTGTATACATCCTTCATGAAATTCTCAATATTCTTTTCGGGCGCATTTATCACACCGGTATTGTAACCGAACTGCAACATGCCCAGCACCGCTGAGAATATCGAGTATGTTAGGAAGAAGGTAAGACCCTGTAGAAAGCGAAGAAAAAGAGCAAAAAAGGATGCGTTGTAAGTAATGTAAGTTTCTAAAAATTTTTAATGGAAATGTGCGCAGTGGAGTATAAAAAATTAAGCTGAGTGCAAAACTCAAAATATAGAAATCATATCATAAAATAATTTCTTATTATAACTGTTAAGCCGAGTAAGTTGTTCCAATGTGAATACGAAGTTATGAAGTGATTTCGTTTCTTCTAGAAAAAATACAACGAAAACTTGTAAAGTAAAAATTAAATTATTTGAGCGATGACAAAATATATATATATTTTTTTCATTTACGTAGTCTTTATATTTCAGCTAGAAACCTAAAAAATTATATGGGTGTAGAGTTTTGGCCTTTCGGATAGATGTATATAGATTCCAAGGACGTAACTACCATGACTCGTACCGATAAATAATTGAAATTTATATTTGTTTCACTTCAGGGCCTTCAATCAAATATTTGCTGTAGAGTCGAACTTTTTCGTTGATATAAAAAATTAAAAAATAGGTGTGTGACTAAGCTAGAGAAGGATCAGTGCTTGGATGGAAATATTATTTTTTACTTCGGATTCGACAAATTTCATGCTAAAAGCGTAAACACTTGAAATTCTGCAGCTGGCTCGAGAATTTTCGTATAAAGCTTGTAGCATTTAAAATCACTATTCTGTGAATTGGAAAAATTCAATATTTTGCTAATTTGTCATGATTTTTTAAACTCATATCTAAAAAGCTCTTTTCTTTAAACTTAAATGTATTCTCCAATATTGTCTTCCCTACTAATGAAGAGTGGGAGGTGTCAAGGTGTCAAATGTTCCTAACAATGTTTTTTATCGAAATGTTTCGAAATCCTGTAGAATTAAACTGAAATGTGTTCCCCGATATTGTCTTCATTCCCAAAGATGAGTGAAGTCGAGAAGTCGTCAGTTGGCTAAGGGTACAGGGATATAATCTATACAGATTGGTCTAAACTAGATAATCAGAAGGTTTTGCCTTTCAGCAAAATTAGATACCAGAAGCTGATCACTGCACTGATTTTCCAAGCAAACATCACAGATTCCTGTTCTGTCAAAGAACATATATATTTTATATTAATTTATAGTATACAGATAACCAAGCGGTTTAGAATTCATAAAGACTCTTAGGGTGTCATAAAAGATGGTAAAAGAATGCCAAGATCTCTAAGTGGATCTGGCATGCTAATTTCATTGTTTAGTTAATAAACCTCCCATCAGACTGGGAAAACATACAATAACTATTGTAGAAACTTTCCGGAGGTAGAGAAAGAAGAGAATATACAACAAATTCTTCTATGCAAATTTGAGGTTTAAGCTGATAGTAGAGACACAAAATAAATATTATCAGAAAATTGTCAAAAATGGTAAACTTTTAGAGTTCGTTTGGAAATTTCGTTTTCATAATTTTATGGTGTCACACGATTTTTTGGAATGAACTCCTATGCTTATAGTTAAGCCATGAACCTTACCAATGCTAAAAGAGGTAATACTAAATATTTATTATTAGAGATTAGAGGATAAACCTTTTTTGTAACGATTTTTTAGAGTTCGCTACGAAATTTCGATTTAAGAATGAGCTTCGTTGTAATCGCTGTAAGTTTTTAGTGGAGACATGAACCTTAGCAATGCTAAAAGAGGTAGGACTAAATATCAGACGATACAACTTTTTTAACGATGTTTAGGTGAGTAATTCTTCAGGCGCGATACTCTCTAGGTTCAGCTGTATCTGTATGAATATATTCATATAATGCGGTATATAGACTTGATCACTCTTTTGAAAAGTCGTAATGGTATGGCTGTAAAACTTCTAAAAAATAATAAATTTTACAAAAATAAATAAAAAATATTTAGTAAAAAATAAAAATGCAAAGTAAAATACAAAATCATATATTTATTTTTCATTAGCTTTTACATGAGTTTTGAATTTTTTTAGCAAAAGGTATTACATAAAAATAATTATAAATAATTAAAGAAAGGATTATGAAGAAGCGGTCTGTATTGATAAATGACATTATGCGCTCAACTTTGTTGTCATACTGTAAAAGTAATAAGCAAGTGTATGTAATTCGTGTACCGATATGAGAACCGATTGTATATGTTTTTTTTTTGGGTTTTTTGGTTGTTTTATAAAGTTTTGAATTTGGCTGATTTGCACGCATAATGAGATTTTACATATTGTTGTATATGAATATAAATGAAATTCAAGTATTAATTACACAACATGGCAAATAATTTAAGCTACAAACTTGTTCTAAAAGTCTTAGCTTCCGTCTGTGTGTGTGCTCCTCCAGTCTGTCGACGTATTCGCGCAGCTCTTCGATTTCCTCTTTGACTTGTTGCACGGTGTCTAGTTCGTGCTTGATCGCCACCATGTCTCGTTTCACCTAAAAGTGTGTGGTATATAGATTAATTGGCGAAAATTTTATGTAACATATAAATGTTGGTTTTGGAAGTGATATTTTTAAAAATTTTACTAAAATTTTTAATCTTTAGTGATATATACAAAATATACACTTCCATTAATACARTTAAAAATAAGTTTTATGTAATTAAGTGTACTTTTTATTAGGAATTAGTAACTATCTAAAAAAAAATCTGACGATCTTGAACTTAGTTTACTCTTCATACTTTCACAGAACTTGAACTTTTACTTGACTGAAATGCTGGACTGAAATACTTTTCGAAACTCTGAAATTATTCTTCAAAGTTTCTAGTAAGCTCTTCACCTTGAGTAAAGTTAGTATTTGACAAGTTGTAGTTTTCCAACTGGGTAGTGTCCTTTTCGTGTTCACGGCCTGAGGTTATAATTCTTTTTGGATGGCAGTTGTAAAGATTAAAAACGAGGTAGAAAAATCTCGACACTTCCTATTTAATTGTCTCGCGAGATCAGGGCCTAGTTTCCTGGAAAGTAACTCTTTCAGATATCCCGTTGAGTTAGTGAGACTAGTATAAAATGCCTAAGTAGAGTTATAACGTTCCCAATGTGCTTCTAGATTTATATGAACTTATTACAGACATTTTTTGTGGCCTCAAAAATTACTGTATATTTAGTATTTCAGGGTCGAGTCCCATCTTGCGGAGACGACATAGAATATAACCTAAATTTCCCAACTACTGAAGAATCCTACCATATCTAAAGTAATTTTTGACATTGATAATGTTTCTCAAAATTATAAAACTACATGTCCAAGCCTTAACATCTACAAAACTCTTCATAAGTTTGAGAACAAATTAAGAATAATCTGGGATATTTGAATGATTCGGTCTGTTAACTGTTAAAGAGCTGAAGCGCACGTATCAAAGGAATATAGTCTAAACTGGAAATTGTCTAATATCACATTGTTTAGAGCTTTTCCGCACACCCTAATTAATTGAGTACATTAAGATTATAACTGAGAAAACTCTCAAAACCTGGTACTTGATTAACGATAGCTTAACGATCGAGCTGTTTTTGCGATGATTTAAATTCATCAGTTGATTGTTATTTTATCAATGCACACAACCAAATTTGCACCGTAGCCTACAACCTGTTCTGACAGGCCAAGAAGACTGAGGTAATTTGCCTTGAGTGGAGCACCAGGGAAACAATGGAGCATCTTTAGTGCACTAGTCATGCATTGGAATGCCATCTGGTAACGCAAAGGACGAAACTGGTCTATGCGTGGTTTAATGGCCTACCAGATTAACCTAACCTAACCTATGGTCGTTTTGGTGMAGTTCTATGTGTACATACATATTAAGAGAATTTAATATAAATCTACAAACAATTATTAAATAAATACTTAAAATAAAAACTACTTTCTTATTCATGTTATTAATTCACTAATTTTCTCCAGACTTTCAGCAAGAGACATATAAGTATAAATGTATATAGGTTATATAACATAAGTGTCTAAACTCACCACATTGACAAATTGAACTCACCTCGGACACTTCACTTTGACAGCTCTCCACGGATTTGGTTAGCTCCTGCAGTTGTGTACGTATTTCACACAAGGCGACTGTCGTCTCCAAGTGTCGATCGCCTCTCTGAAGCTCATCCAGTTTGGCTGATAAATTCATGCTCATCACGCTAACTTGCTTTTGCAAACTGTCGCATTACATTGTGCAACGTTGGTGTGTTATGTGGCGCGGTGCGGCGACAATTGGACGGCCATTCAAATGCAATTACATGTTATTAATTTGATTGGCGATAATGCAGTTGTAGCAAGCGGTCGACGGCAGACAAGTTGAGATGGGCGGCAGTTGGTGTTGCAAGCAGGTGATATGCATTGTTGTTTATGTTATCATTGTTGTTGTTGTTATTATTGATAAGTATCATTAAATCACGGTTACAGTAACAGTTGCGCAGCGGTCCATAAACACACACACACACACATGCATTTAAATACATGTGTTGCACGTAGCAAGTGGCACGTTGCAGTTGCATGCATGTGTTTAGCATTATTTATGCGCAGATATATGTGTGTATGTACGTTGTTATTATTGTTTGACAAGTGATGGCGGCGTTGTGTGGCACACAAATAACGGTGAAATTCCGGCGCACAGATTGTCACGGAAATGCAGCACCGAAATCAGAGCGCGACATTTGCAGTCATATATATAAGTAGTTATGTATATGCGATTTTAGTGATTTCATGTTGCACATTGCAAGTCGAAGTTGCAGTTGGCGCGGCAAGAAATGGAAAATGTATTATATATAAGTAATGTGGCATGAACGGAGCAATGCAGTAGTGGTAAGTTAGTTAAGAATGCTAGAAATTTGCGTATATATAGGTACTGCAATTATGAGCGAAAAATGCGAAAATGCAATTTATTTACAAATATTTATGTATATATGTATGTATAAAAAAAGTATATATGTATATATTGCAAAATTATTTTTGAGCAATTTATGTACGAAACGCGGAAAGGAAGCAAGAAATTTAAGCATTTCACGGTAAATAAATGCAAGTAAATTTATGTATGTATATACAG